CTGATAACAAGCTGAGTGGTCTTTAGCCCGGAGGATACAGCGTCCATAATTTCCAAAAAGAAATTCACATGTTGATCAAATGGCCCATGCGGTGATTTCCACTAGAGAATCATGTCTGTTTTTAATGCAGTACCGCCTGAGGGCCCAAAGATCACAGCCAGCAAATACTGGTTTTTGGCCTTGTCCTTTGTGTACAGAGATTTCTCCAGATTCTATAAATCTTTTAATGTTATTATGTACTGTAGATGATGAAATCCCCAAGTTCTTTGCTATTTTATGTTGAGAAATGTTGTTCTTGAATTGTTTGATTATGCAGTCTTTCACAGAGTGGTGAACCCCTCCTCATCTTTACTTCTGAAAGACTCAGCCTCTCTGGGATGCTCATCTTATACCCAATCATGTTACTGACCACCAGGTGTTTTTTTAGCATTACACAACTTTGCCAGCCTTTTGTTGCCCCTGTCCCAACTTTTTTGGAACGTGTTGTTGGCATCAAATTCAAAATAGGCATATATTTTTCACAAAACAATAATATTTCTCAGTTTCAACATTTTATATGTTGTCTTTGTACTATTTTCAATGAAATATAGGGTTTAAATAATTTGCACATCATTGCATTTTGTTTTTATTTACATTTTGCACAGCGTCCCAACTTTTTTATTTTTGCATAATTGAACCAAATAATTCCTCAGCATTTACTCCTGTATTTCTGTTTCAGAAATCTCAGAAATTTCCTCCTAGGATCAGTGCCACCAGGGATTAGTTTCTGAACTTGTCACTTTTTTCACTGCTCATGAGTTTTCAAGTCTGATTAGAGTTTATGGTGTGCGTCTGTGCTAGCTGTCCGAGTGTAAGGACCGCCTTTTGTCTCTGGAGAAGAGTCTTGAGGACCAAGCTACAGAGAAGCGATCACGTAAGCTGAGTGGTGAAGACCCGTCTCCTGTAGAGCTCATCAAGAAGATAGAACAGGTACAGGTAAACTTCACTGTTGTACTCTGTTGAAAATTTGTGTAGCCATTTCATTGTGCTTTTCATTGTTTGTAGCTGGAGGAGCGTCTAGCAGAGAGAGAGGCTCAGCTGTTGGAAAAAGAGCTGGTTTATGAGCAGGTGACACGACTGTCCCAAAACATCTGTGCCAAGGCAGAGAACGGTAAAGAGGACACACTAAAACTGGCCAAGAGGGTAAGCAAAGACGCACAGTCTGAACTAACCTGCACGTATGAGGTGTGCCACTCTTTTTAGCTCATACAGTCAGTCTTACGTTGGCTCACTTACACTGACACTCAGAATCTTCACAGTAATCTAGTCTGACTTACATGTCACAGAGAGATTTTGGGAAAGGATATGTAGGCAACCCTACCATCTGTGTTGTTTGTAGACCGATCTCCGCTGAACCCAACATCAACAAAACACACGCATATACTTCTCTTATTCCCTCACTAATCCCTTCAGCAGCATGTAATATTATCTCTAAGCACCAGGAGTGTATGTTGTATTAAAAGTACACTAAATATCCAAAAGTATATATAAAATATAAAATATAAATATATAAAAGTATATTTAAAATATAAATATATAATATATAAATATATATAAAAGATACCCTTTTAGTTAATGAATTTATCTACTTTAAGGTGCAGCTTTTTCTGACAGAGTTGTTTAATCATGATCTCCCTAAGAAGCACTGACAATAGAATGATACGCTGCAGAGCAGCTGCACATGAACTTAAGATCACTATGCCCAGTGCCAACACCAAGAACTGTAACTGTGTTCTTTGGAGTGATGGAGCTCTGTCTAGTCCCTCTGGGAAGAGTTGGAGCAGCATTTGAGATCCAGAACTAACCATCCAACATCAGTACCTGACCTTACTAATGCCCTTGTGGCTGCATGCTATCAAATCCTCACAGCAATGTTTCAGCATCTCTTCTCAGAAGAGGATGTTACTTCAGGAAAGGGGGGACACTCCCTACTAATACCCTTGATTTCAGAAGAAGCAATAAATGAGCAGGTGTCTACAAACCTTTGGCCATACAGTGTATGATTGGAAGGATGTGTTGTGCTATGCTGACTTAGAGTAAATGATATTGTTTATTACTTTTACCTCCATGGTAATAGTTGTATGACAAATCAGCTGTGAACGTGAATGGACTTCACACTCCTCTTTCACTGTTAGCACTTCACTGATATGAATGTGAATAAACCTGAATGTGCTTGCATGTTCGCTCAAATCAAATCACTGTGCATTCAAACCCAAAGGCAGCATCGTGCTTCCTTTATGTAGTGATAATATGGTAAAGAAAGTACGGTAGAACATCTAGCTCCATCTACGCTGGCTGGTTATTTTTAGTGTGCCCCGCATGAACACGCACATGTTATATTTACGCCTTACCCCAAATAAGAATTAATCAGTCAAAACATGTTTAGTGTCTGAAGTTTGCTGCTCTGGTTTTACACTAGAGCTACAGGACTAATGTAGCTGACAATTACCCCAGCAATTAGCATTGTGTAAACGGCACGCCTGAATCATCACACATCTCAAGCCATGTGAAGTTGAGAGAGAGAGAGCGAGAGAAAGAGAGAGATGCCACTACAGAGTAAATTAATTGCTAAGCTACTGTTCTGTCTGTATTGTGCTGTCTTTTCTGCAGTGATATGTGCTGAAACTGTGCTGTATGTTTCTCCTCAGGTGAATGAATTTCAGAGCCGCATTAAGGACTGCACTAAGAAGCTGATGGCTGTGGTGTCAGAATTAGCCATGCGGCAGGCGCAGGCGCTGTGTCTGCAGCAGGAGCTTCGTGAGAGGGAGCTGCAGCTGGACTCGTGCCAGAGGAGGTTAGAGCAGGGCTTGCCACCGTCAGATAGCATAGAGCAAGAGTGGCAGCGCTGCCTCCGAGAACAGCACCGCCGCCAAGCAGATGCAGAGGAGAAAGCCCGGGTCAGCCTCACCATCCTCTCACACACACACACACACACACACACACACATCTAGTAGTACACATTCTGAGTACAAGCTGGACAGCTAGCTTTTCAAAATGTTCTTTGTACAAATTAGTTTTCTTTATCAGTTTTCCACAAAATTAAAAACTAACCAGATTTAATTTGAGAAAACAGTATCACATATAAGTATTTGTGTCAGTAAAATCTTGCAAATAATGCTGTAGACCACATATTTTATCTTTTTGTTGTGATGTCAGCTCTTAATCATTTCAGCTGTTTAACCCACATTTTGGCAAAAAGATTATTAATATGTGCTTTTAACAACAGTTTGCAAAAGAAAAAAATATTTTTTTGGCAGTACTTGCTCTTCATGAAAAGGAAAACACTTTGGTGAGCACAAAGATTAATGTTGTATTCATTATTAGCTCTTTAAGATTAACAAATAATAACCACTGGTATATGCTATCATACATGTCTGTAGGTTCTCTGAGCAGACCTTAGTGCCCACTTGCCATTCTTTTACAGTTCTAAGACATTTTGGCAGGATAAGCAAGGACTATAGGACTGGCCAGAGACCTGCCAGAAGCTCAAAAACTGTATAATTTACAAAGAGTGAGAGCTGAGAGTGCTGATAATGACATCTAGTATGTTTCCTGTTTAATTTTTGTGCATAAATCAGATGTATTCATAGTGCTGGGGTGTGTGTATATCTATATATTTTAGATTGCTGAGGAAGAAGAAAGAAATCAGCTTCCGAATGGAGTGTACACCACAGCAGAGGCCCGACCCAATGCTTATATCCCAGGTGAAGACCCCCTACCTTTACCCAAGCCATACGGAGCTCTGGCTCCCTTCAAACCCAGCGTGCCCGGGACCAACATGCGCCACATCCGCAAGCCTCAGCCCAAACCTATAGAGATTTAGAGGACTAATATCTACAGCATATCCTTGTAACATGAAAATAAAAGTCCAAATGCCTTCCCGTTTCATTAGTGAACTGTCTTCAGAACAGTTTTTACTGGCTGAGAGGAATAAACACAGCTATTTCATATGTTTTTAATTTGACAGCTCATGCTTTCTGGCAGGGCTGGTTTTTGTTGTCCCTTAACTGTAACTGAGAGTTCATGCGGGGAATTCAGAGATACGCTGCAATCCTGCCAGGGCTGGAGGCCTGGAAGGGTTCAGGTCATGCTGTGTGCTCTCCAGAGCCAAGCTTACAGTCACTACGGAGAAATTAATCAAAAGCTCTAACTCACATACATTACAGCAGGTTCTGAAGAACTGTATGGGTCTCGTTTGGTGAGGATTTGCCTTAGTATCTTTCTATATTACCATAACAGATGTAACAGTATGCTACTGTAGAAAAATACTTTTCTTATGCTCTGGTTTGCATATCTTCTATCAGTCACTCTTATATTGAGATTACTCAGACACAGCAGAAGCTTCAGCCAGCCCACCTGTTTCCACTTGCTGGTTTAGTAACCAAACCCTTCATTATGCCTCTCGCAGCAGATGGACAGAGGGTGGAATACAGGAAATCCTACTGAATGAAAGACTGGGAAAAGGGCTGGGTGGGGAACTGGGCACAGAGCACAGGGCACAGTCATGGTTTACAACAATCCCTCATTCAGCTTAGTCAATAATTAAGTAGCAGTTTAAACAGTGGCATGGCATTGTATAGTAATCCTCTTCTATTACAGGAAATGGGCAATAAAGAGAGATGTCTCACTTACAACAGACCAAGCTCACATATTTTTAGTTTTTGTCATAAACAGTTATGTAAACATTGACATCTAGTATATAAAATCCCTTTTGACAATCAGTTATGTTAATTGTGTTAAAAAGGGTGGAAAAGCTGTAATGTAGATTTTCCCCACATTTCGTAATCAAAATGAGCAGACGTTTGTGTGTGTTTACATTTGGGTGCCAGGTGAAGCATCTGGCGCTTCCAGTAAAATGCAATGGACGTTTCAGAAGAGACTGGCAGCCTGCTGTAGCATGTGTGATTGACACAGCAGGATATTAGTCATTGTTTTTAATGTGACACAGTTCTGAGTCTCCGTTGCTCAACGTGGGATTTATTATCGTCCTGTCATGTAAGCGCCGAGTCTCCGTTTCAGATACGTTTTGGGATTTTTGTGTAGCCACCTCATACATTCTTTTTCCTCCTGTTTGCATTGTTGTTACTTGTGCTCCAAGCCCAGCTTGATCATAGTCTGCTTCAGTGCAGTTTCTTCCACAAACCTGGCATCCACATTCTCCTGTTCTTCAAAGGGGTTTGGAGCTACAATACAATGAAAACACACATACAGAAAGGCAGTTTTATCTAAGCTGGCTTGTCTGCTCTTCATCACAGATACATCTCTTGTAGCAAATACCTTGCTCTTCCATGTCTGAGAGGATGCTGGCGAGGTAGGTTAATGGCAGGAACTCAGGCCTGAAGCATGTCTTTTCCCTGTCCAACTGTACTGAGCCCTGCGAAACACATCACATTTTGAATTTTGAATGGGGGGAGGACACAAATATCGCAGCACTCTGGCAACTCGGAACATTAATGATTAGTATTACATAAAATGACAGGAAGACAAAGGAAAAAACAATGTGAAGTTAAGTGTTGGGCCAACACAAGCCATCAGAAAGTGCCTTGGCATAGATTTTTAGAGTTTCGGAACTGTACTGGAGAACTGCCCCCCACAGCGTAAGAGAGCAACCAGACCCCCCCTCACTGTAGGGGTCAAGCATTCAGGCCTGGACTGTTTTCTTGGTGTATGTCACATTCACTTGCCCACTCGTGAAGAATATGGGGAAGGATGACTCATCTGACCATATCACTTTCTTTCACATCTCTGTTGACTGTTTTTGCACCAGTGAACTCTCGCATGTGCATTTGTCTTTTTAATGATCAAGGATCATTTTACTGGCATGGTTTGAAGGAAGAGTCTCTGCAAACCAATACAAGGTTTTTCAGACTGATCAGCTTAATCTTATCATGATACATTTCTATCTTGATGGAGATGCTTTCTACCAAGATGACATTGCTCCCATCTACAGGGCATGAGGTTTGATGAGTATGAATACGATGCTCAGCATTTTTATCCCTGCCTCAGAGCATGGGAGGATGTTAAGTACTTAATTGTATCATGCAGTACACCTGTCTCGAAGCATCTGCACTCTATTACTTTGTCTATATATAATCACAGAGTGTAATATTCAAGGTTTGAATGGCAATAACAATAACAAAGTCTATTTCAATACATTCATCTTCCGGTGTAAGTTTGTGTGCTACTTTAATGTGCAGTGGAACAATGTCATTAGTTTAAGATACTCTGTCTGTCCAGGTTGTCACAGTATGTTGCACAACACTAATATGTTCTCATTCACCCATCTAGCAAGCCATCTGACATATTCAATTCAAATATCTACTTTTTTTAAACAGATTAATTGAGTGTCAGTTTCCTTTTTTAGTTTCAGTGTGATACAGTAATGTCACCTGATTAGACTGATTAGTTAGCTGCATTCGGTTTGGGACTAAGTGGGTTTTCTTACTGACAAAATCTCTAGACTCACCCTGGTCTTGGTGTATTTCTCGAGCTGAGTTCTCACATACTCTCTGGAGATGCAGGCTGAGCTGATCGGGTGATCCCATAGTTGACACACTCTCTGTTCCATACACTAAAATCAAAATCATCATACATATGTGATCAGTCCGTCAGACCTTTAGTCACCATATTCAAAATCACAGCCCATTCAGTCAGTTCATATGACTTCATGGAAACACTATAATTCACTTTGTTATAAACGAACATTAAGTTAAGACGCTGGGCAAACTAAGTGATCTGTGCAAAAAAACAGTTTCAGAATTGTTCTCTGGCTAAGACTAACAACTTGCACAACTGTGGTTATTAAATCTGGCAAGGTGGAGGCATTTCTTAAGCAAACTTAAAGTAGAACAGCTTTCCAGAGTATTTAGATAAAGCAGCAGGGCTGATCTGTGTGGGAGAAATGCGATTTCTCTGTTGTATGTCCTTTGGCTGCATTAGAACCTGAAAAAAAAGGCCTTAGCTCACTAGCACACACTCACATCCCATTTCCCACTCATAATGAAAATAACTGACATCTGCAAAAACAGTGAAGACAGCTATGAGAGTTCCTCTAATCGGTCTGTACTGATTAAGACTAATTTCAGCGGAGCTGTCAGATATGAGCGCACAGACGTTACCTCAGGAAGTCTCTTCAGGACACTGAACTTCAGTTCTTCACTGCCATCACTGTTATCTAGATCTGCCAACAATTATGGGAGGATGAGAGCAGACCAGTAAGGAGAAAGAGAAAGAGAGAACAAAACACGTACAAAGCACAGCCATTTCTGTTTGACATCATTAATAAAATTAAGACACCTTATAGAACTTGTTCCTCAGTCGCTGCACCTCCTGAGGGTAATAATAACCACCCTGCCAACTGCTGATTCACTTGTAAGTTCTAATAGAATCTCATTCTTAGTTTAACAATCTACATTCTGTCAGACTTAATTAGCATCCAACTCCTAATTCTACAGCGTTTGCCTTCATAGGCTGCTGGTTTTGTCTCTTTGCCAGAAATTGTACAGATGAGGATGAATATGTGCCTTGGCACTAAAACAAACCCTGCTAAAAAGAGAGAAAGAGATATCTAAGTTCACTTTTTAAGAGTCATAGCTCTCACTGACCGTTTACAATTGATAATTCACCCACTGCCTGTGACTCAGTAACTCAGAATATTCCATTAAAATTATAATGAAAGTTCAGAATAATTTAAAGTGTCAGAGTGAGTGAATATTTAAAACTGCTTACAGTGAGGTGGGTTTGAGTCATGAGTATCAGCTATTGTATGCTACATAAATGCTTCTGAGCTCCACTGAGTCAGTGCCTTCACTGGAAAAGCAAAAAAACTACTCCAGACCAGAGCTGCGCATTAAATTATTACCTCACAATATTACTGGCACACTGTGATACTGATATTGCAAACTGCAGCGTCTTTTCTGGCCCCGGGGAGTGTTTTGATGAATAAAGGTGTTCAAGGGATCTAAGAAACACATTTTTCTATGTTTTTATATGTTGTTTCATTTGACACCTCTGTCTTTGCATATGTATACTGTAAAAGAGATTTGTTGTTTTAACTTGAAGTACATAACCAGGATCATTTTATGAAAAGAATACTTTAATCTGCAACCTTTTTCACTGTATATTCCCTCCCATTATCATCGTTCTGAACCACCATTGATAACGGGTGCCCCACACTAAAATGAAATGTAAAGTCTCTGCCTTGTCCAGTGTTGATTTTTTTTTGGCACCATGTTTGCCATTTAGCCACACAATGTGTTGTTATTGTTTAGAAGTGTGGCAACTCTTGCATGATGCTGATGTTAAACATCCTATTTTGGGTAATTTAGGGAAATTACCCAGACACTTTATCCAGTACAAATCAGCCAGTCGCACAAATTACTTTCTCTGGTAAAACAAATCCAGCTCAAATAGGGCTTTAGTCCAACTTTACATCATAGCCTTTGGAGGCAAATGGTGATTAAGGTTATTTTTAGTCTCTTTTCTCTAAAACATATTCATTTTTGACTTTCTGGAACCAATGAACATCAACAAACAAACAATACCCAGTTAAGCCATAACTGAAAAGAATGACATCCTCAACTGGCAGCAAACATATTGTATTTAAGCCTGTAGAGACAGGACTGTTTTATTCTATTTATAAGTTGTGTTAATATATTGACTCAAATGCAAGCACTGCACTCAGTGAGTCCAGTTTACCCGAGACAAGACTCCAAATGATGTTGAGACCGGGACAAGACACAAGAAAGTTAATTTACGCTCTCAAGACTGAAACTGAGCTTGAGTATTAGTTCACTGAACCTCCAATAGTAAGTGTTACATTCTGTTCAATTAGTATCTGAAGCTGTATGAGTTCAACATTGTAAGGCAGCCCAGGTACTTACTATTTTGAATGTAAACACCTTTTTGTGTTGTTTTTTATAGTGTAGTAAGGGAATACCTGTCATAAGGCGTGAGACGAAGGGCTCAGTGAGTTGTAGAAAGCCGTGATCCACATACTGCAGGAATGTGTGGCTAGGTAGACAGCGCACACCCAGCACAGTCAGAAGTGTAGAATAACCTGCAAGTGTCCAAATGATAAGAAGCCATTCAGTAAATTTTAATTCAGTTCATTTTAACTATCCCTTCCTCTGACAAAACCAAAACAGACAAAATAATCTTCCCTCAGACAGCCTGATAACACACAGCATTCACATGACAAACTCATTTTTTCTGTTTGGCACCTTATAGATTCTAAAAAAATCTTACACAATTTGTGGTGATTTTAAAACAGTTTTCTACAATTCCTGCAAACAGCAGAGATGGTAGAGCTGTTGATAAGTAAACAGAGAAATATCTAGAGGGGATTAGGCTGGAGCTCCTCTCACCTGGTGGAAGCGGCAGACAGAGTCCTTTAGTGGCTTCCAGAATCCGACACATCACATGAAACATCGCCCAGTCCTCCGAGCTCCCCTGCTGTTTACTAGAGCACACGCAACACAAAGGTGACACTTCAATTCATACGCAGTTCATGCACCTCAACTGGAATCAATCTGAGCATTTGTACATGAGCACTCTCGCATGAGTACAGCACTCACAGGCAGAGCACAGTGGGACCCAACTTCAGCTTCAGCCACACAGACTCCAGCATGTGTCTGACCAGCTCCAGCTGCACACAAAACACACAGACCATCAGGGAAACTTCCAGTTTTTTCCACTTATTTTTGTTTCTGATGTTTCCCCTTCCTTATGCAAGTGGATTATCTTGTGGGTTAGCTATTTCTAATCTCCTCAGAAATATCTCTTGAGAAATGATTAGACGATATGGAGAAAATGGGACCACTATCAGGACATGGTAGACCAATAAAACTGTCACCATCAGATAAACATACTGTTTAAAAAGGTAAGTCATCTCAACTTAAAATTATAAGGTAACTGATTACACTGCTTTTCCTAAGTTAACCACTTAAAATCTCAGGTTTATTACATACTAAGGCTTATTATTCAGGACTTTTTTACACTGTACTGAGAAAATCAAGCTCCACTGTTGCTTCAGATCTGAAAAAAAATCAACTCAACACCATGAGTCTGAAAGGAGGTGTAGCTGTCAAGAAGCTCTTACTGACAAAAAGAAAATAGACAAAAATGAAGAAAATCTGCAAATCAAACAAATAAGCTGCTGAACAATGGACTGTCCAGACTTCAACATCACTGAACATGTTTGGATTAGTTGGATTGTGAGAATCAGAAAATGCAACCAACTTCTAAGACTGAACTTTGGAGGTGTGAAAAAATATCCCTGCAGATTTCTTTGAAAACCAAAAATATGAATCAAGGTAAACTGGGGACACATTAAATAATGAAATATGTTTTCTTCTTTTTCCTACATAAGAGAAGTAAACTGTGTTATAATGGTCATACTTTTAATTTTTACAGGCTGTTACCTGCCTTATACATGTGAGATGTGGTAGTATGAGACATTAAAACTGCTAAACATATTCCTCCTGGTGCATATACATTCCTAGTTTCTAAACATCTCACATGGTGAACACCTAAGAGGGATACAATGATTCACATTCACTTCCTGTTTTCACTGAGGACAGTCACTGAGGTCCATAAACATTCAACAAATTCAGCAAATTCAGTTTTGGTGTGTCCCAATAAAATACGCATGCAGGCACGCACACATGGACCATGACGAACTCATATCCTCATGTTCTCTCTGCTCCGTAAAAACAGGAAGTGTCACTGGCGAACATACATCCTCTTAACACTTAAGGCTGCAGTGCAGATCTCTTGGGTGTTAGTCGGAAAAGTGTCAGTGGCATACGAAGCAGGAAATGATGGATGTCTATTAATGTGCTTCCCTGATGTACGCTACTATGAAATCTAACAGGGCGGAGAAGGAAGCTAGGATTTCAGCATAATCAGCCACTGTCAGTTACGGTTTTCAGTGTTTCGTAAGGTAGCTGTGAACTGATAACATAAAAGCTAGAAGAGGCCATTGGTTGAATGATAAAGAAGCACACGCACCAGTTTGGCGACGTAGTTCAGCACCAACATGTCAATCTTCTTCTTCCCCAGCCGTGGCAGGTGTCTGTTCAAATGCTCCCGGAGCTTGTCCACCATCTGACCAAAAAAGGACAATCACTACTTTGTTAATAAACTCATGCCTAATGGTATAACTGATAAGGACTTCCAAATGTCTTTATATTCACAGCTGTAACATGGACATAATATGGATACAACATTATGTTCAGTGACACTTGCTACTACTACTGTATAGGCCAAACTACTGTTCATGACAAATGAAAGCAGTAAAGAACAACTACCAGAGTCAAAACTAAAAAGATAATGCATCAGTTGAATTGCACTTTATCAGCCACCCACTACACCGGGGCGTCAAACTCAAGTGCTAAAAGGGCCATATCAAAAAATCTCAACAAATCTGTGGGAACGCCCTTCTTCATCTCCACCACTTTTCTGTTTTCTCTGCTGTCTATCCAGCTCTCCAGTGTTTTGTTTCATAATGGTACTGAATGTGGTATTCTTTCATTACGGTCACACCTTCTCTTCAAATGAGACACATACTGGAAGTAAAAGGGTTTCTGAGCTTCCACCCATCTTGAAATCCCCAGCGTTTACTGTCCACTTCTCACTTTTAGCAAACTAGGTGTTTTTTTAGCTAGCAAGTGTTTATATTGGTTGGACTGAAACACAGCTAGTGTGTCTAGTGATGTGACTGGTGTGGTAGGATTGAGGTGTAACCGCTGTCCCACTGATTGCTGGTGGGGGGGGCAGGGTTGGAGTGCACTTCACACTGTAGTGCAGCACACTGTGAAATGGGGTAATATTAATAGAAAATAAAAATAATTCTGCGGGCCAGACAGTATCGTGCTACAGGCCTGACCTTGCCTGTGAGCCTTGTGTTTGACACATGGGCACTACACCAATCAGCAATGGAAAGGGACCACCACTGGGCAGACATTATTTGGGTGGCGGACAATTCTCAGCATGTGACGATGGCTGAAAAATTGTCCATAGCAAAAGTGGGCTACGGTCAGTAATTGCATACCTATGAAGTTGTCCTTTATTTTTGTTGTTGTCATTTTACTGTCATGAGCACACTGAGATGAATTACACAGCACTGAGTCGGCACTGCAATAAATGAGCCCCTCCAATGAAAAACCATATATTAACCATTCCACCCTCATCAGTTATTCTGTTTTCTATTTTTTTGTACAACCTTTTACATTAAAATACAGACTATGCTTTATTTGTTTTAGTGACCCCTTTATTTTAAATACAGGGCATAAAACAATGCTATACCATGCTTAAATGACTTTTACAAAAATTGTTTTTCACTGCAAGGGCTTTGAAATCCTGAATACTGATAACACAACTGACCTTTAACTTCTTGTAGATCCACCTTCCTGCCAAGCTCCAAGCCACAACTAACATCACATCACTCCCTGCAATTTGCCTACAGAGCCAACTGGTCAGTATACAATAAAGTAAACACTGGTCTGAAAATGATGAGCATGTTGACACCTCGGGAACAAATGATGATCTTGTCTATAGACTTGAGCTCTTTAGCATTATCATTCCAGAACTGCTAGACAAGAAACTCACTCAGCTCAACCTGCCGAAGTCCGTCTGCCATTGAATCCTGGACTCTCTGACAAACTTACAGCAGTATGTGCAGCTCAGCTAGTACTCATCAAGTACTCTCACCCTCAGCACTAGTCAGGGGATGTGTGCTCTTCTCCCTGTACACCAAAAAACCTCAGAAAACCCATCTGTCAAGCTACTCAAGTTTGCAGACTACACCACTTGCACTCCTCGTTTACAAAAATGATTAGTTCACATACACACAAGTGGTGGAACATCTTTAGGTCTGGTGCAGTCACAATAACCTGGAACTGAACATCCAAAATGCTGTTCTAAATGGCTCACTTGTTGAAACAGTCGAGACATTGACTGAGAAGACTGCTGGCACTGTTCTGTTGTGGGACGAAAACTTCACCTGCATAATCGACAAAGGTTGTTCTTCCTATGAAAGCTGGGGAAATTCAAGCTCCCACAGGCAATATCATCCACCATCAATAAGTCCATCCTGACCTCTTCCATAACTGTCCAGACTGGTGCTGACGTACACTTTTTCTTAGCTCCTTTCTCAAGAACAAACTTAAGAAAAAACTAAGGAAGATGTTAGTGAATGAGGCCCAATAATAGTAAATCATGCTTTATATCTGCTTCTCTGTCTTTGGCTTATCAGTTTATCCACCCAGGTCGCTGATAATCGGCCAAAAATATGCTCCACGATCCATGAGCCAAAATCGAACATGAATCTATTATTTCATGGCTCGTCTTTTCTCGTCTGGAAAGATATGAGCAAATGAGAGTCAGGCGTTAAAACTGGCAGATTATGCTGACAGTACAGCACTGACGTGCTGCTAGAAGAGGAGGAATGCCAGCTCTACTGATGAGTCATTTCATCATAAAATGTGTTTCCACCAGCAGTGAACCTAACCAGGGTTTGCATGGAAGCGGACCGAGACATGCGGTTTTAGCCGGACTGGATCAGCTATTTATTGTAGACTCCAATACGGGTGGAGTGTTCACATGTCAAAACGGAGTGAACTAAAGAAAAAGTCTTTCATTCAGGTGTGAAAGTGCCCTGAGAAACCTCTCCATCTCTGGCTAGCTGTCCGCATTGCGCGCCTGCAGCTGCATTGTCTTAAACTGATAACATTTAAATAGCCCACAAATAAACACTGCAATGATTTTACTTGTACCTCTTTATTAATATTTTTGTTGGTTATAATTTGATTTTTCATTTTTAATCCATTTTTAATTGTTCCATCAATCTTTTTTCTATTTTTGTTTTTATGACTTACAGTGACGTTACCAGCCCACTACAAACTACTGCCTCCCCCTGAGCACAGGCCCGCAGACCACTAGAGGGTGCTTCATGGCCCACTGGTGGTCCGCGGCCCACAGGTTGAGAAACCCTGGTGTAGGGTGTCTAACTAAATTTCTTCTTGAAACTGAATTTGTTAAATTCCATCAGCAGCACTCCTGATTTAACTTAATAAAAGTCCAGAACTGGATGATAACTACAATAAACCCCTTAAATGGCCAGGGTCCGCCAGCAGGCCCAAAGTTTTATTACACACTTCTATAATCTAAGAATAGCTCAGCCAGTTTGCACTGAAGTCCATATAGTTACTGAATAACAAGCATTAGTATGTAATAAGCCTGGGATTTTAAGGGGTTAATACTGGGCTAGTATGTGGAGGTGTTTGGAAAGGGTTAAACAAATACCTTGAAATACACAGAATCAATACTTATTTTATTAATTAATTAATTATTTTATTAATATTGATTGTATTGATTATATACATTTTATTGATTAATACATTGTATTGATTAATACATTTTTTTTTCTCTGAGCAAATAAATGCTTACTCGCCAGACAACTAGCTTTTTAAATCTAATTTTCTCAGATGTCTAAAACTATTGCACAATACTGTATATCTTTTGCACATTTGCACCTGTTTACAGACATATTCATTTGCATCTACATTTTGTATATCCCACATATTTAGTTTACATTCTGTATATAATAGTTGTGACACCACCCGAGGCAGTGTCTTTGTATTTCTTTGTATTATATGTCTACTGTTTACATGTTTATATTGTCTATGTATGCACTGATTCCACCAAGACAAATTCATCATACATGCATTTGTACTTGGCCAATAAAGTGATAGTGATCCTGAACTAACAACCAGCATAGCACAGTTTTGACACTGATCAGCTGGATCAGGTGTAGATAAGTGTGGGAAGTGCAGGTCAGTAGTGGAAGGTTTTGCGGCAGCTGCATCAGAATAAGCTATGACTCACCAGGCCCACCAGCACCCTCTGTTGTTGGTCTTCCTCCTGGAACAGAGGCACCACTCTCTTATCTGCAAAAACACAAAGAGCCAGACGTCACTGGCAGTCCTCCTACACAGCTTATAACTTGTTCCTACAATTCGTACAGTTCGTAACTTTTTGCTATGCGTATTTTTTTGCTATGTGTATAAATTTAGGTAATATGTTTATTCCTAGAATATCTAGGAATGTGCAGCTATGTGCCATGGAGGAGGTCATGAGGTAAAAAGGCAGTGATTAAATGGAAAGAATGAGGAGAGGACTTGGGAAAGTTCTTGTTCTTATGTAACCCTGCTGAACTCTCTGAGTGCCTTTTTCCGCTTTTTTTCCCTCTTCATTGCTTCCTTGATTAATTATTCAGGAACATGAAAAGCGCTCTCCTGGGAAACAGAATATGTGACCCTGAAACTCTAGTCAAGGCAAACCAAAGAACATTTGCTGTAATCAAGGGGAAAAAACTGCCATTGCTACTACAAATGCTACGGGAAATGTTTTACTTACCCAAACGCCATGTGTCTACCATAGACAAAACTCTGTGGAACACGAAACAAGTAAACAAGAGCACTTTTAGGAAACCGAGCTATAACTTTCTATTTCAAAAATCTACTTCAAAATGTACTATTTGTTTGAAATTCTAAATCCACCTGTAGAATATAAGAGATTACTGAACAGAGAAAGAATGCTGCTTCATTACTCCCCTGTAGATAAGGAGAGGATGAACGAAGACAGCCTGTGTCATTATAATGAATATTAATGATTTGTTATGCATTTACACAGTGAAATGTTTCCTCTTCGTTTAGGGTTTTGAAAGTCAGTTGCATGGCAACATGATAATCTCTGTTGTGAACATTCACTCTTGACAGGCAGTGTTTCCCTTTGCGCCCACCTGTACACCCCCCCCACACACTGCATTCTCCACATGCTGCTCTCCACCTACTTTTTGGTGTTCTCCTCAAGGTATCGAAGGTGGTTAGAGGATTTCTTTTTCTCCGAGTTCTGCAACAACACAACGATGTTTCATTAAACGAATGAATTAAGGGGAAAGTCTTTAGTTACCTATTCACCTAATTTCAATTTTAATGTGAAATATTTTTTTAAATCTGGACATCAGATGGACATCTCATCCAGTAAAGACACTACTGATTGGTTTGTTACTGTGAGTTTCAACCAAAATAATTATTTTAGTCTGAGATACATGTTTCCATGTAGAGGGACTGTCCTTAATACTTGGCAAAGCCACAACAAAGCCCTTATAGGAAGGTCTGTCCACTCAAGGCCTATATTGGCAGTGCACAGTGCAGTTATTTCCAGTCATACAGGACCATCTCTTCTCTTTGAATGGGGAGACCAATAAACCCCAAACTAACATAAATAGTTTGTTCTGTTTGGCTAAAAAATGCACAAAAATCAGTTTTTCAGCTGATTCTGGCTGCACATCTCCACAAGAGGCAGCTTTACTAGCAAGCTGATTGGCTCACTTTATTGAAGTGTGGGACTTTCCCCATAAAGTAGACCCCAAGCATTATGAGTTTTCCCATTCATTTTTCACCCAGTGGCCTGTCTCCTCCTCCTTTCTAATGTTTCTGGCCACAACGAAAAATTAAAAAAGGGGGTCTTGCTAAGAAGTAATTTTTAGTATTTGGTGGGACAAACAAAGAATTGTTAATAATATTCACAAAACACAGTGATTAATGAGTAGATGTCATCTACATGTATGACAGTGTTGCTCTTACTACTCATTTTAACAGATAACCTCTCTGACTAGTGGCTCCAGTCAGAAGTCACATGACCAATAGGAGTCTGGACAGTTTTAGCTTTTAATTAAATACTTATAAACTCATCATAGGGTTTTAGAACATGGCATACCAGAAGTATATTTACTGAGCCATCACATACAAAGCATTATTTCTCTATTTCTTCTTAAATATTTGCAATTAATTAGCAGTGAACCATTTAATGTAGATTTAAAAGGTATGTTGAACCTTACAGACATGATAATTCTACTTCAGAGAGAAAAGGTTAATCATGGAAATTATCAACACAAATTTGTTGCATTTTCCTTGTAATATGTGCAATATTTTTTCATAATGTATTGATTTTTTTTGTGAATTACAGAATATTATTTGCTTTCTTACTGACACTGCAGGCCTTATACCACACAGGGTCACAGCATGAGTGGAGTGAAAAGGAATTTTATTCCTCTTTTTAGGCACAAGTCTAAAAATTTTGAAGTGTATCCACATTGAGGATATTTACAACACTTTTCTCATGTTCCCTCCACTTCGCTCTTCAACATCCAGACTCACCAGCTACATGACCTACACATGACCTTCAGTTTGCTAAAGCAACTACAGCTTTGTAAAATAAGCAAATATGTAAATACATAAATAACAAAATAAAAAATCCACTAAGAATACAACCTTAGCTTTTGGTCAAATCAGCTCTGTGGATAAGTTGGCGTCACTTGTTTGCACAGTGGTAAAAGTTGAAAATAATGTGACATAACAGACTAAATCAGATCATGGTCACATGGTTTGTGTGCTTTCCCCTCACCAGGGCGGCCTGTAGCTTGGTCCAGTCACTCTTGATCTGGGTGGTTCGGTATCGAGGGTTGGGAACGGCCTCAAAATACTTCATCCTTTCTATAATCCACTGCAACTCCTCCCAGTAGCCCTGCAGACTCCTGCCCTTTTACACACAATACGAAAACAACAGAGTGAACATGCTAGACACGGGTGTTGGCAGTACATTTGCTGCTGTTTTCAACTGGGCCAATCAATGACAATGACAATGGGGTGATTTTTTGCAAGTGACAGCCTTGAAATACAGTCTCTACCACTCGGGTTTTCTTAACCTCTGTGTTATCTTTTGTTCCTTTTTGAAGTATCTTCAGTTAATTGGTCATGAATTCCCCTACAGCATTCCTGTTTTGGCTCTCTGCTGCCATCTAGTATCCTCTCTGGATACTGCACTTTAATATTTCAACACGACCCTATAATACTGTGTAACATGCTCTGATCAGATGTAAATTAAATATTAATGTGAAATCTCTCACTGCTTTGTGCTGCATGAATATTTAATGTCTATGTGCTTCTTGTTAGACCAAGCCTTCTGTCCCCTAAACAATCCCCAGCCTTTCGAAACACTGAGTGAAATAGAGTAAAGTGAACTACCTTTCCTTTGATTACTGGCTGTGCCAGCAACTCAGGGGTGCACTTTACACCTGGGATAGCAGTGAGGGCGACTGGAAGCTCCTAGAACACAAAAATTAGGTCATTTTAGAAAGGCTGTAGTGGTTACAGTTTTGTGTAAGTTATACAGTTACAGAGAATACTGATAGTTTCCCACATGCACATGAAATCATGTCAATATTGTTACATTATGATTTAAAACACTACTTAATATCTGCTCACTATCCTAGATAAGGACTGATTTAAAACCATCTACAATTTACAGACAAGGTGCAGAATCCTGAATTGCTGATTGTTATTCAGAAGTCATTCAGGCAATCTACTTTCAGTTCTCCTCTCTTTTCAATCTCTTAGAAATCTCTTCCTCTTCCAAAATGCCTTTTTGCTTTTTTGTGTCAGAAAAATAATTTGGACATTTGTTGCATATTCATGAGAAAAGCAGCCTCAATAGTAATGTGTATCTGATGTAGATTGATTCTTGATCTTTTACACTAACAATAGCGCTGCACTCGCATACTGCACTCACTGTAAAAAGCAGAACAGAGCAGAACATGATCTCAGTTGTTTGTGAGGTTTGAACCAATGTGAAATGTTGCTTCTGTTTACCTAAACTGAAGTTTTGCTTTGCATCACTTCATTTATAGTATTTATTGAGGTTAAATAAAACCAGTTGAACTGCTTGTTAACACATGAATTCGCACAACTAATTATTCACAATGTAAAAAAAATCAGCGTAAAAATACAGTAAATTACCAACTAGTGAGTTTCATTACTTCACAGTCATGTAAATTACAGGAGATATTACAGCTTATTTATATGTGTATGGAAGAATACAACCACATCGCAGTAAACTTTTGGTCCAGATGACTGTGAAGTAAAACTTCAGTTTAGGTGAACAAAAGCAACATTTCACATTGGTTCAAACCTTAAAAACAACTGAGATCATCTACTGCTCTGTTCTGCTTTTTACAGTGAGTGCAGTATGCATTGCTATTGTTAGTATAAAAGATCAAGAATCAATCTACATCAGTTACACATGACTGTTGAGGCTGCTTTTCTCATGAATATTAAACAAATATTAAACAAATATTAAACAAAGTATTTTTAATATTATGTTAAAAAACCATGTTAAAAATGTTAAAAAATGTTATGTTAAAAAATATCAATGAGTGTTGCTCACCATGTTTTCTGCTGATTATTAGTATCCCAGATATGTTTTAAAAATGCAATTTTAAGTTTGCTCATAATTTCTATGATGATCAAAAACTTGACAATACAAATAAACTAGAAAAGTAGTTGCTGGGCAGTTGCAAAGATGTTGCCATGCTATCCCAGGTGGCTGCTAGGTGGCTGCCACAGTATTTCAGGTGGTTGCTAAGGTGTTGCTAGGTGGTTGCTGTGGTATGCCAGGTGGTTGCTAGAGTGTGGCTAATCGGTTGCTAGGTGGTTGCTATGGTGTTCTAGGCAGTTGCTTTGGGGTTTCTAGGTCATTGCTATGGTACTCCAGGTGGTTGCTAGGTTGTTGCTAGGTGGAATCACAGACGGTTAATAGGATGTTGCTAATGGACTTGTATCATTGTGATATAAGTTGGGTGCCCTAACCTTTGCCTCTAATTATTCCTATGGGGAAAAAAATGCCATTGTCATTTAACAATGATTGTACATAAACTGTACATCCGATCAGAAAGATGTATACAAGCGTACCACTCCTGATCAGACCAAACATTCCACTGCAGTGTAAACTGTCTGATGGCCAATGATATTCATTTTCCCTGCAGTGTACATACAGGTGGCATATTACATTAACATTCTCCACTGAAAATCTTGACAGTAGACTTTATTACCTTCTTCTCAAACACAGAGGAGTACGGCAGGACTTTATCCAGACTGAGAGACTGCTGATAGCAGATTCTGTACAGAGAAGCTGAAATGAAAGAGAGCTGTTTAGTGTATATCATATAGTGCTATTTCTATAGATTACATTAGTAATGGAGGAATGAATGGATTATTTTGACAGTTTTAAAATTAGACCAAACTATAAAAACTGACTTGACTGAATAATAGTAAACCATGCATTAGGATTCTAAAATACTTTGGAAAAGTTAACTAAAGAGGGCTTAAAAAACAAAACACAGATTCCCAACTTTTGAGTGACATAACCTTTGCACATTTACATTTTTATAATATCACTTAGAAAATAAACAAAGCATGTCATTTACCAGGGATGCCCAAAATTTTGCATACAACTACATAAAAACCATACATGCTCCCTCACTGCACCAGCTTTTACTCACCCAGAATAAATTCCTGAATTTGATCAAAAGCGTCAAAGCTCATCACATTCTCGCTGATCCAGTTGATGATCTGCACAGAGAGCACAGTGCGAGTAAGAAAGCTCGTCACATTCTCTTTCCCTCACTTTCCCAGCACACATAAGCACACATCTGCCAGCCAGTCCTTAATGCCTGGAATTAAGTTTGTCTTACACAAAGCTCCCACTTGTGGAGCTGGGCATTCCACACAAGAAAACACAGTGACTCACTCCAACTCTTCTTACAGAATTCACACACGGCAGCTTTTATTCCCTTCCCTTATACTTTTCGTTCTCTCTCGTCCTCCATCTCTCCCCAAACAGCCACACCGTACCTTCTGCTCTAGATCCTGGTCGGGTCCCAGGTGGACCAGCATGCAGTGCAGCCCGGCCAGACGCTGTGCTTCAGGCCTACTGGAGCTGAGGAGCTGCAGCAGAAAGTCGTGGCTGAGGTCAGTGGTGTATATTCTGCCGTTCTGTATGTCCAGCAGCCTGCGGCTGGGCACACTCACTACGACGCTGTCAGCCCCCAATGCATCCACACAGGCATCAGCACCTGCAGGACAACAGGCACCACGCAGAGGATGCTTTAACATGTGCATACACTCATAAACAAATACTCAACCTGGACAATCACAGCATGTGTACTCTCACTCACACCTCATTGAAACAAGCATTAAGTGGAAGGTGCATATTTTTGTTTGTAGAAGTGGAAAAGGACATACTTTATTGTGATTTAAACTTCATGAAAACTTACTGGTAAGTGTACAATTGTGTTTTGCAGAAAGAAAAAAAAACACCCTTTGTCAAACAATAACAAAAAAGTGCAGACTTGTCAAATATGGATGGACATTTCAGTCAGATTTGATATTCAAAACTTTAAGGCATTATTAAAATGATTACATTACATTTATGATTTATGTCACCCCATACAGTTGGCTCAAGAACGGTGAGTTTTTGAAGTGCTAGTTAGCTGCTGCCAAACATGTAAATGGTGTTGAAAAGTTTGATTCCATTTATATGAGTAGCAGTTGAATGAGCTTGATGATTATCATTGCTTTTCTGCAGTGCTTCCTATGTGCTACAGCTGTGCATGACGTTTTCCATCCAGTATGCTGTAGTCTTTAGATGGAAGAGGTGGATAGATACTGAAATAATGATACTTCTGAACCTGATGTTTCTTTTTGCGAATCGAAAATTTGTGTAATTTTCCTATAAACTGACGGTGATTTTTGAAAGAAAATTATAGTAGCAAGTAAATGTGTTGGATAGGAAGTATGTTTTCTTCTGCATTCTCACTTTCGTTCTCACACATACAGGCACAGACAGTCACAGGAGATAAAGTGAATGCTCTATAATGGCAAACCATTTCCTTAAACAGATATAAACAGTTTATGTGGCTGTTTATTTAATACGATTGCAAAGGTTTTCATTTGTAATTTGAAATGTCCACTTTTTTTACTAGTTTTCACTGCAGAAATCAAATGGAATTATCCTTTATGCACATTGACACTTTTTAAATCGGTACTGGTATCACGATAGCAGCTTTGGAACTGCTTGCCATCTGATTGAAAAGACAGCTGGAAATGTGATAGCGCCTATCCCTATTAGAGGCGCAGTAGGCTTTTTATGTTATGTGTGCACTCAACAAAGTGTGCCAAAACGTAAGACGCTACAGTGCCCTCTGGTGGAGTTTTGAGTTCAAACATTTCATGGTTCTTTAATATGAGAATGTGCATATAACATTAAAGAGAAGCTGATCAAGCTTATCAAAATCATAATTTACTGTTCTATTTTTTACACTTTCATGACTATTTTGACTGGCCACACAGAATGGAAATTGAATGTATACACAGTGCACAGTCATGGTTAGCCAATCACACTGTTGTACAATTATAATGTACAATGAGTGCCCATTTTCCACAGTGTAACCTGTAAATCAGCAGTAATCAGAGCCACTCACTCTTCTCTCACCTGACAGAAATAGACTGTGGCAGAGCAGGTCCTGCTGCCTGCAGTTGATCAGATGGAGGAAGTGGCCAGCAAGATACACCACTATGTAATAACCTGTCAGAGATGATATGTTCGTTCAAAGGAGATAAGACACACTTATTATAGCAACGTTTATCAGTATATAAAAAATGGAAGAATATTTCAGCCACCTGAACTCTGCTTATAATTCAGTTACTGTTAAGACTTACTATTGAGTAACTACAATGAAACAAAGGTATAAGTCAGTTAAGAAGGTAAGGAACTGAAGTGCGGGCCCACACTTAAGGGTTTAAATATAATATGCACTACCAAATCAGATGTGAGAACGAAAGTTCAATAAAGTTCAAGCAGTATGACAGTACATCATAATAAGCAATCAGTTCTGATGCCGCACTTACCCAAGTGGATGAAGAGTGGCCGGAGGTTTGCTGTGCTGGCTGATATGGCTGTTTGCTCGAGAGCCACAGTGTATGTCTTACTAAAGCCTAAACAGCAGGGTAAAATACTTATTAATACATCTCCACAACAAACTGAGCTGATTCAGAGACAATGTAGCATTTTCCTGTACCTTTGTGCACAAATGCAATGGTGTATGTGCTATCTTTACGTCTATACAGAGGATGACTGTAGCATACACACATGGTCCCTGTGAAGACAAACAGACAGTGTTATATTAAGTAAGTCTTTTTTTTTTAAATAAAGCTTGAACATGAAATTAAACTGGATATTTCTGCTTTATAATCAAGGCAGGATTAAAGATTAAAAGTAAACATGACGAACAACAGTACAGAATGTTGAAAGATTTCTGGATATTCTCACACTGTCAAAAAAAAGAAAAAGAGTACTGTACAGATACGTTTTTACACCCTCAAAGGTACAACATGGTCCTCAAGGTCCAGTTATGTACCTTGAATGAATTTTAGAGGTCCACTATATTCACTTTCTCAGGGGAATCTTTACTTTTTCTTATATTTACTTTTTTAACATAGAAACTAAAATAAAAAGCCTGGAGACACTTGGAGAATGATTCTGGGAGCATAATTCAGAAACAAACACACAAACATTTATAAAAGAGTCAGAGAATCATTGTATTTGTATTCCACAGCCATGGTTTAACAGCAATTAAGCCTGCATAATATACAGCACACGAGTGGTTGTGTTTGTATGATTTCAGTGATGGAATTGTTTATAAGGCTTACCAGACTTCATTTACCTTCTTTGAGTAAAAAGATGATCAAGAAAAAACTAATTTCCAAGCAAAAAAAATCAATTTTCGTCAATTTGAAGGAATTGCCATGCATGATTTATAACGTTCACTGATTCATTAAGCTAGTTTCCCAAAACTCTCATCAGATTTCAAATATCCAATGAAGTGTTCATTCACATGCACTATGTGGACTTTAATTGACAAGATGAGTGTTGACGACTTACTCTCTGTCCCGAGTCAAGTGTGCAAAGAATATAAAACAGCAATAAACATTGACTTAGTAAAGCATTACATAACTTTCCATAAATCAAAAGCCTCAAAGTGAACAGCATTTCAACACATTACTCACCTGTTCTGTCTGTAAATACCACCAGCTTCAGTTCCTCACTTGGCTGCTCTTGGTAGTGATCATGTCCGAAGTTAACAAACCTGTCCAAACCACAGTTAAACATATACAGTAAGATCAGTCTTTTCACGTTTTTGATATTTGTAAATATTTAACCCCAAGAATAAAGCTGAAAAATCTGCTTCTTACCTCACAGAGGTGAAAGGATTACTGGGCAGCTCCAGAGGCAGCTCAAACTGTCAGACATAAAGGCAACAGACTGCACTTTTAACTGTCATTAAACATAATGAAACATTAGAGATTAGTTGAAGGTAAAAATATTTACCAAGGTCTCAAAGTTGCGATCAGGGAAAAACTGCACACACTTCAGCGTATGTTTCTTCTGCAAGAAGAAAGAAGAGTGGACAGTCATGACATGTCATAATAGCAGACATTTAGAAAAGTTATTGAGAAATAACTACTACTATTATTCTGTAACTACTATGAAACTAATATGTAAGTTATGTAGTTATGAGAGTGAAGAATTGAAGTGTGGGTCCACATACAGGTTAAACCATGCAGTCTAGGGCAGAGCCTTAATACGAGAAATAGAGTTTACATGGTCTTTGCTTGGTTAAATGGTTATGTTTCGTATTTCCTGATCGCCATGGGCAGTGCTTATTAAGTGAATTTTTCTCTGCATTCACAGCTTCAAACTGAGGGATGTACACCAAATGAGTCACCATGTGAGCCCTGCACGTGATGTCACTGAGGCTCTATCATCCTGTGACTCACCGCAAGCTTCCCCCTCTCTCGTCTCGCCAACCGTGCAGCTCGGCGACACCTTCTCACAGTGTCACAACTTCGAAATTCTTTTGTCCTCTATAGGTTGTTGTCAGCGACCCCTCATTCAACCACACCTGCGTATCTCGGTGTAGGCCTAGACCTAGGCTTAGGATTGCTACTGTCTCCTCACCTTAAGCAAGCTAAATTTTTCTCAGCTAGTGGGCTCAGTGCTCAGCACTCCGGCTTCTGCCTCACCTTCTTGGCATTCTGTGGCCAGGCCTCCATCCATGGCAACGGTGCCTGCAGCCCAGATTCAAAACGCACTGAAGATCACACTGGCAAAGCTTGCACTCGATGCACTGGCAACTAAGGCTCCAAAAGCTGAGGAGGTCCAGAGAAGCTGCACTAACCCAGCTTCTCTGGCCCTCCCCAGCTTCTCTGTTCCCACTGAGGAGGCAAACTCACAGCGGAATCGAACTAGCTCCACGAAAGTACTCATTGATCTAATGTTCTACCAGGAAGTCAGTTCCCTACTGGCCAGAGAGCTTTTACTTGATTTATTTCATTGTTCCAAAGAAAGAAGGAGGCTTTCAGCCAATTCTGGTCCTCCGGTGGTTGAACACGTTTCTAAAGGTTTTACCCTTCCACACTGTTCACAAAGGAGAATGGAGTAACACACATTTTCTCTGGTTTGAGTTCTAGTTTAAACATCTGCCTTTCAGACTGTTGTTAGCTCAAAGTACATTTTCAAAGTGAAAACAGACTGCCCAGACACCCCTCCTAGAGCAAGGGCTAAAAATCCTTCCGTACTTTGATGATTGGCTGGTGTGTCCTCTTCAAAGAGGAAGTGCTCAGATACTCGGAGGCTGTTGGACCAAGCACTGGGCCTGCCTGTGAACTTGGAAAAGAGCAAATTGTCTCTGTCACAGGCAACACAGTTTATTGGCATAGTGCTGAACTCCCAAACAATGGTGGCCTCACTGCCCATGGACTGAGCCCAGGCGATTCTGCTACTGATTAAACACCTGAGCCTAGGAAGAAGAGGGCAGAAGTTAACTGCTGCGGCTTCGTGGACTCTTCACAGCTGCAGCACAGGTCATCGCATTGAGGAAGCTCTATATCAGACAATTCCAGATGTGGCTGATACCTCTCCAGCTGGACATTCTGCGCCACAGTTCATATTCCAGAGTGTCTGACAGCTCTCAGGTTATGGCATTTCCTATGGTTCCTTATGTCTGGGACAACGATGGGTCAGTTGCCTACACACAGAGAGGTAGTGTCAACAGACACATCTACTACAGGATGCGGTCCAATATGGCAGCAGAGGTGGACTCAGGGTCGTCAGTGAACACTGGCTGGGAAAACATCAACTTCCTCGAGCTGCAAGCAGTAAAACTAACCTTAGAGTGTTTTCTACCAAACCTCCAGGGCAGATATGTGCTTGTTCTCTTGCTGCACACGCTGAGCCCAGGCCAACTTCACCAAGATACAGCCAGTATGATACTGCTCAAATTAAGACAAGCACAGTCAACTGTGGTTCTCGGAACGAGACCAAGACAGTCTACTGGAACAGAAAGCCCTGGTCTACGACTGGCTGGGGGAGTTGCTTTATGAATTTCTGCCTTTTGTTCCAGCTTTCTTAGAAAGAGTTCAGAGAAAAAAAACATTGAATTCTCTTGGCAGCACCACAGTGGCCAAGACACTTGTGGTGTCCTTTGCTTCTTCCTTTGATTTGCCAGTATGGAAGGACCTTCTCTCCAAGGTGGGGGGCAAGGTGTGGCATCCACAACTGGAGTTTCTCCATCTATTGCTGTGGCCCTTAGGGTAACCTCATATCTGTCATAGTGTTCTCCCAGAGTCAAGAGATACAATGCTGAATGCTAGAGCTCCTTCAATGAGGGCAAGCAGCAGATGTTTGAGGGCTGATGCTCAAAGAACCAAGTTGACCTGCTTTCATGCTCTGTGGAGACACAAGCTGGTTGTGGACTTCTTGAAAAGGGCATGGAGACTTTGCTCCCCACTCGATCCAGCCGCCACCCTGGGAGCTCCCCATGGTGCTGGAAAAAATATGCAATGCTCCACTCCAATCTTTGGAGCAAGATAATAAAATACATTTTCAATAAAATTGGTGCTTTTGCTCATAGTCAGCCCCCTGTGTTGCCAGTGGGGCCCAAACAGTGCAAATGCTGAACTCAGCTTTCCTGCCGGAAGTTCTCATACACTGACCAGTCAATCCCCAGGAGACAGCTTGTGTCCTGTCAGAACACTGAAGTGCTAAGTCTCTGCTACAGACCAGCTGTTTTACACTTTTCTCAAAGCAGCGTGCCCGTTTAGCAGTGAGCTGGCTTATGCAACTGCCAACTATCCATTGCCCGCGCCTGCTACTGGCCACTCCATCAGGGGAGTCATGGGCTGCCTTGAAAGGGGTTCCTGTCATTCACATCTGTGCAGCAGCCACAAGGTCTGTGGCCTGCACTTCTTCTAAATTCTATAACATCAATGTTGCAGCGTCATCAGACCTGACACCAGCTATTCTGTCCAATGTCACAGGCTGCGTCTGAAGCTGTGAACACAGGGAGATGTCCACTCAGCAAGTACTGCTCCTGGTGGTCATCCACCAGTCAAGTCAAGTCAAGTCAAGGACTACTCACATAACCACAGTTACATTTGTAACTAGTGTTCTCTGTGATGGAGAAACTGTTGTATAGGGTTCATTAACTTTATAGGGTGGCTGGTAGCCTAGTGGTAAGAGAGGATGCAGGTTTAAATCCCAGGACCAACTGGATATACCTGACTGTGCCCTTGGGCACTTTACCCACTCACTGCCCCAACTGGCACTTCTCTGCTGCTGATTCTCTGCTGCTTCCAGGCCATAGTTAGACAGCAAAATGACAATTTTTTTCTTGTAGGATCAATAAAATACATAACATAAAGAACCTTTGAGAAAATGATTGTACACAGCACCAAAATAAAGCTTTTTGCTCAGAGTATAGGTGTAGAGTTCTGAATTCCCTAAAAGCAATTGAACAGCCTTAGTTTAGGACACAATGAAGATCAATGGAATGTTAAATGCACAACAGAGACCAGTGAACTATAATACTTCAACTAACAACAGTAAATGTATTATTCTTTAAAAATCAGTAACAAACAAAATGTATGTATTTCTTATTTCCTTATTCAAAATTGCCATAGTATTTGTTTATCTCAAAAAATTGCCAAACTACGGCTAAATGAAGAGAAAGGCAGATAAGGGTGGTTCTAACCCGACAGGTGAGGTAGAAGAGTCTTTGGGGTCCTGAGTCCCACTGAGCCCAGCAGAACTCCTCTGCCACCCTGTCTCTCACCAGACGCTCTGAATTCTGCATCACCTGACACATCAGCAATGATAAACACTCTCAGCTGTACCATACTCATCACATTATGAAAGACAATGCCTCCCTCAACAGATCTTGGCTTTTGAAAACTTTACATGCACATCACTCTAGGCAGTACATCTGTTCATGTATAATACAGATATTATACCTTCAGTACATTTATATTTATATCATTTGGTAGACACTCTTATCCGAGAGACTGACAAAAAGTCCTTTGCTGGAAAATGTATCCGTATGCTGGTGCACAGGTGTCAAACTGATTTCCTTCCAGGCAATAGCTCTGAAGAGATTACCATTTTCTCCCTTCTAACAACCTAAATTGGTTACTAACTAGCTTGTTGAATAAGGGGTGTTTAATGAGGCGCTAAACTCTGCAGAGTTGTGGCCTGGAAGGAACACAGTTTGACACCCCTGTGCTTGTGCAAATAAGCTTACATCTAGAGAAACCATCAAACTAAGGCACTGTGAGAAACAGGAGCCAATACAGATGCATTAATACACAGATCTTGAAATTTTGTAGCTCTAAGTATTTTCATATATATTTTGTCACATGCAACGTTTGTGTTAATTTAGGTTCCTACTGAAATGCTTTAGTACATTATTTGATGTGTATATTGAAGCATACGTAAACAGCAATCTGCATGCATTGTAAATACTCACGACTCTGTAACCTTCTTGCTTCACCAGCGGTATGTGGTACTGATCCACATCTGGACAGATAAAGAATGAGAATCACTACGAGTTGAGGAACAATGGTTTAAATCCTGAAGCTCTACTGGACATAATAAATTATAGTCCAGGGTAAAAAAACACAATCACTGCTTGCCAAACACACCCCCACTGGCGACAAGTTGAAGCACATAGGGATATATTATGAAGCCACTTTCCTAATACTCACAGCCGTCCTCTGCTGCCAGCAACAAATGGCTCTCGAGAGCAGTGTTCCGAAAAAAGTCAGGATACAGAAACTATAGAGAAAGATACGTGAACATTGCTAACATTACCTCCTTATTAAACTGGAATAACATTGTAATACATACAATTTACATTAAGTAAACACTAACAGCTACATATAGGGTCTTTCTCTTTGTATAATAAAATTGCATAAAAAACATCAGGTACAATTCCAATCATTTCAATCAAATGTATTATTGTATGTTCATTATGATATTTGTCATTAAAATCTTTGCTGACTACCTGAACTTTGACCCTGCAGTCCACAGCTTTTAGGACCTTAGTGTTGTTAATTGGGTGTATTTCTATGAGGAGTGTCAGGCATTTTGAAGCTAAGAGAAAGAGAGTGAAAAACAACAGTTATCAGTTGTTAAATGTTAACCTTTGCAACACAGTTTTAACGGTCTATAATTTGCAGATTTAACTATGGCCATGCATTTCTAATTATAACCTGTAAACTGTAATAAGCAAATGAGACTAATGCTTAACATAATGTAGTGTATTTGCACTGAAGTTAAATATACAGGAGAAATAATAGATCACATACAGGTTTTCAAACCAATGTCTTAATGTTATTTAGTGTTCCAGATAAAAATTGGAAAACTTTTTAAAAACAATAATGCATTGTGCTATAGCATACAGCAAATTAGAAATGCAGTGCTGGCTGAAATGTCGCCTCAGTCCTAAATGTAGTTTAACTCTTAAACACTCAAGCGTACATAACAATAAGTACATGACAGGCTTAATCATTAGCTGTAACATGTGACAGGTTTGTGGAGGAAAACCTAGAGTCTGAGTGTGTGTGCTCATGTGTGGACTGTTGCCATCATGTGAGGTAGTTGGGGTTAAAGTTGAGTACCTGGTTTATACGATTCTTCTCTTCCCTGCGTGGACTGAGTCAGACTGACCGCTGAAATAGACATAGATAGCCTCTATTACAGCTAATTGCTACACTGCTAAAAACTTATCAATATAGGAGTTACATACAGTTATATAGTTACATAACTTGCATACTAGCCAAACAACTTTCACAAACTCATAAACTATTTACTTTTTATAATACTGCAGCCACATAAAAGTGCCTGGTCCAAAGCTTTTCTATAGATCAAACTTCTATAGATTAATCTGTGAAACCAACATCGTAGCACACATATAATACTGTGCTGAAGTCAGAGACAACCATTCATTTATTCAGTGTCCAGTCAAACCTGGATTTAATTTATTCATTTTTCAATGCCAGGACAAATGTAGATATCACACATTTCACAGAAAACTACACAGAAGCCTCAAAGACTAAATATAATATCAGTTTTCTCAGTATTTATTGTGTCCACACTTTGCCTTTATTACAGGTTCCATTCTTTTTGGGAGACTACCAAACTTTCTTCTTTTTTTGTCTATTTCCTTTTCTCAGTAAGGGCTTCTTGACAGCCACACATCCTTTCAGACTCATAGTGTTAGGTTGTTCTTCTCACAGTAGAAGGATGGATAGAAACACTTGTGGATTTTTTTCAGATCTGAAGAAAGAGTGTGAGCTTGATTTTCTCCTCTCTCTCAAAGATGAAAGCTTTAAGTAATATTTATCTGATGGTAAACGTTTTGGTGGTCTACCAGGTCATGCACGGTTGTTAGGAGTCCCATATTCTCTATATATTTTAATCACTTTTTAAACTTCAGTTTTGGAAACTCCTGCTGAATTATGTTATATCTAATCTCTTCAGCAATACCTCCTGAAAGTAAACTTACACTTAACAGTCATTTTGGTCAGAAATTAAATAAATTAAGGGCAGTCTCTGAATTTGGTGCAATACTTTATAATGCATTTCAACACAGCAGGCTTTTAGGCAATAAGTTTCTTAGCGCAAACAGACCATTTACATGTCTGAAAAGGAGCTCTTACCCAACAGAGTTTCTTCTTTGTTCAGTGAGCAGCTGCTGATACACACCTGCTTGTCAAAAGTGTAAAGTAGCTGTGAGGAGAGATGTTAAGAGGGGTGAGTGGCTTGCACCATAGCACTAAGAAACACTGTATGGGTATCTTTTATATATTTCAGCTATTTCTAAGATAAATTTTCATTGTGCATTTTATTATCAATACCCTGATTCATTCACTGTCATTAAGCCATTGTCATTGACTATGATTAAAATTGTAATAAGCACAGTCTAGTTTGAGAAAATTTGTGTTCAGAGTCTCTGCATGTGCCTACTGATTCATATTTTGCCATTAATGCGCCCTTAGAGTCCAAAAAAATGCCACAAAGTCAAACATACCTTATTCTGTTTCGTATGAGGGTCATATTTGCCGACCCTGGTGGTTCCTGAGGCACCCTGTCCGAAGATATTGGAAAATCTTTAGAGCCATTAACAGAAATGCTTTAATAGACATAACACTTCAATACTTAGTGAAACATTTAGGCCTGTTTCCCAAAACACATTAAGCCTAAATCTAAGTATTATGCTTTAGTTCAAGATTAGGGTTTGAAACATGTGAAAACTGGCACAACTGGTGTGACAAGCTGGATTAAGACACAGGTTCAGCCTTTTATGTCCGCCTAAGCCCACTACACTGGTATGTATGGAACTTCATGCTTGACCTGTCAAAATAAAGCAATTACTCGCAAAAACTTACTCTCCAAGAATACACGATGCCTCCATCCTTCTCAACATTGAGGATGCGAGTGTCAGCAACACCTGCACAGTCTTCACAGGAGAGAACAGACTACATGAGTGCAGGCTAACTTTCATATGACCACACACTTTGTGGGCTATTACTGGAGCTGAATAGGAACTGACTGGTTAGTGCATTTATCAGTGTTTTTAATAATATGTTTATGTGTCGTTTCTGTCCAAAAAAACAAGCATCTCTACAACAGTAAATTTACAAGAGAAAGCAAAATGTTTTTTAACAATCAATGTAAGTTAATATAAAGAGATTGTTTTTAGAGCATTTTCACTGGTCCATCCATCATGAAATGTTCACACAATGTAAAGGACAGCTGGAATACCAAATAATGCAGAAAAATAAAAAACTGAAAAAAGGAGAAAACAATTTTTAGTACAGGACAACATGCTCAAACTTATTTGGGAGCAAAGGAACCTCCTGTTTACTCTATTCCGTTTCAGTACATCAGATTTAGTTCCTAATTCCTTTTTTTGTGTGTTTGATCTCATTCACTTCTGTTGGATTAACACCTGTAGTGTTTTGCTGTTGCTGAAACCTTTCAGTGTTAGACTTCAGCACTATATTTCAGAACAAAATGATCCCAAAAAGAGAAAAAGCACCCAACAAAATTCACTTCCTATACTGACTGCTGGATGTACTGAGTTCTCCTACTGCAGTTCTACACTTTTAAAAAGATGGTTCTTTAATGGTTCGTTGTAAAGACAGTGGTTCTGTATAGAACTATGACCTGTCAAAGAGCCCTTTGCATGCTTAAAAGGTTCTTTGAAATGGCAAAATTGTTCTTCAGAATGATGGAGAATGTTTTGTATATGGTTCTGTATAGAACCTTTTTTAAAAATGGTTCTATATAGCACCAAAAAGGTCTTTTGTTACAAGCTTGACATTGTAACAATAACAGAACCCTTTTTGGTGCTTTATACAGAACCAGTTTCAAAAAGGTTCTATACAGAACCATTGTTTTTACTAAAGAACCCTCGAAGAACCATCTTTTTAAAAGAGTGTAGAAACTCTGTAATCTAACAGGCCACTTTTACAGAATAACTACTTTTACTTCTACTTTACTCATTATTATTATTATTTAACTGATGTAACAGCACTTTTGCTCAGACTGCCCTGAACATCTGAGAGCACAATGACAGAAAGTGAAAGACCACCTCGGCGCCCTTCAGTCAGAGGTTTGAGGTGTCGTTAGAAACTAGTGGTTAAAATGTACTTACCTTTACTTCTTCTTACAGTCTCTTCTTTAGCTATAATGCTCGAAATAATGTCTGTTTGAATGTCGAAGGTCTGGGTTAGTTTGAGCATAAGTGCGGCTCTGCTCTCCTCTCACACAGGGCGGAGTGAAGCAAACTCTGCAGGACTGAGGAAACCAGCCGACCTCACCTTCACACCTCAGCGGGCACAAGGTGCGTCAGCACTCAGCTCCACCACATGGGGAACAGAGTTAATGTGTTTGTTTCCAACCCTGACGCTCCCGAACTGTCGGCTGTGCTCATTATTCACACTCTCAGACCTTTAAGATGCGTCCGGCTGTAGCACATCAGCTAACCTGCCTCACTCAATCACTGTACGGAAAACCAAGAAGTCCTACAAAACAACAGTATCGCGGAACAGAGCGCGACCAAGCCCCGCCCCAAGCCCCGCCCCGCTGGACCAGGGCCGGCGCTGATTGGCTGAGTGTACTGTCCGTTTACTGTCTTGGAATTCTTCGCTGTTTGTGTCACCTGATTCAGACAAAACAGGGCGACAGGCTGTGGAAGTGAAACTCGGCGATACGAAGCGTTCAGCACTGCTCAGCTTTTTTCACATTTCAGTGTTCTCTTTTCACCAGTTTGAACCTTTAAGACCTTGAGGAGCTTTGTTCTGCAGACTAAAGATCCTCAAACCTCATGTAAGTTAAAGAGACCCTCCGCACAAAATGAACAAGTTAACCATCGCTACACCTGTGGTAATAACAATCAGCCTTTTACAACCACGTCACAGTTATCCCTAAAGCCAGATTTCCAAGGTATAAAATAAAAAAATATAAAAAATGTTTTAAATGTTTTTTGTCGTCCACCACAGGCCGCACTGCGGTGAGGAGCTTAGAGAGTGTGGCCATGCAAAGTGTCTCTCGGGAGGTGCCACACTAAAAAAAAGAGACATTTAATGCAGTGTTGTTGTTGATGTTGTGTAGTTGTAGTGAGTAGTTGCCCTTGTTAGAGTAATTGTGTCAGAGGAGGGTGTGTCCTGCTGCGTATGTTGTGTCCTGCTGCCTTACCCCCTCCCCGTGTTTCGTGTTGGGGAGCACTGGGCTGTGCATACATAGTGCTTGCAAATACTCACTCTTCCAGTACTTATTTAGTGAAGAGCATTTAATGTTCATGCAATGTTTTCAGTGTCCTCCTCTGCGCCGACGCCACAGTATTTTATGTATTTATTTGTTTTGCTATTTTTTCAACTGAATTATTCATTTGAAAGAAAGAAAAATGTAATTTTGATTGACTACCATTTACTGCTATATCACTATTTCTAGGCAGCACTGTGGATGTTTTTATTAGCCTCTACATCAGTAAATAGGCAGTCTGGGTTTAATGAGTGCTGCAGGATTGCCATGTGATGTGTTCAAATAATGCATGCTGGGTATTGTAGTGAGAGAACACAGATATATGAATTCACGGAGTTGATACACAATCATAAATTCTGTCCAACCGATGAGGCTGAGGGATACAATGCAGTGCTACAAAATACAACATGACTTTGCAAATAACACTCATAATGCTGATTTTAGACATGAATGCCTCTTTAACTTCAATAGTTGTAGAAAGGTTAAAGAGAACAGTTTGACCAGTGACATTTTCCAGTGTCATCTAAGCCAGGATGTAGCATAAATCTCCTTTCTCAGCCTGGGTGTGGGTCAGTCTCCATCTGTATACACAAGATGGCGCCATTATACAACACTGCAATCTTTCCCTGCTCTGACCACCACAGAGCAGGAGTGGCTTGTGCTATAAGGCTGTGTAAATGAGAACATTATTGTGCTGTATGTGTAGATTACTTGCATTAGGCCACCTCAGTCCCCTCCTAGCCACTAAAAGCAAGTGGCGGTGGGCTTACTGCTCTCGAGTGTCCATCAGCTTTACACGTTCTCTAATAAAACCCCACCTCCTGTGGTCGGTCTGTCAGCGGGCTGCTGTCTCAGTGACACTTGGGTTTATTATCATGGCTCACAGCCTGCCAGCTGACCCATAAAATAGAAAGCTGTTCCTTTGTCCTCAGCTTTAGATAATGAGAACAATTAGAGCAGACGGACAGGTAGGCAGCATCTGGCCAGATGGAGCACACCCACAGGCACTGATGGGTAGGAATTAGTCAGGCCATAGTTTATAAGGTCATTATACCATGTTAACAAGTCCATTATTACACTCACCGAAAAGTAATAATGAAGCCACAGAGCTTGTTTGCCACAGTCATGTTGGACTGATAATAGATGCTTCATGCAAAAGGACAAAATGACACTACTAGTAACAATTGTCTTTTGTTTCTGCTTCCTCTCACTCTCTCTCTCTCATCCTGTCTGATGACTGGCCTGTCCTGTTTTAGCCAGTTTTCCCCAGAGTCTGGCTGTGTTTTTTTTTCTTACTGTTCGTAATTACCTACGTGGTTCAGCTTGGTGTGGGACACATCCTTGTGGCCTTGGAGGAACGCATGACAAGGAACAAAACACACACTCACATACACTCACTCACTCGCTTACTAGGATGTAATTACTGTGACGGCTAAATCTGACAGGCCGCTCTGGTGTGGCTCAGAGGGGAACGGCATGGGGTGGGAAGCTCAACTAGGGTGCATGTGGTAATTCTGGAAGACGAGAGAGAGAGAGAGAGAGAGAGAGAGACATATTATTTGGTATGTAGGGGACAGTGGCTGGCTGGAGCCAGGCAGTTTGGAGTCTGCTGAGGAGCGGGTTACGCACAGCATGCTGTTGCACTGGCCACCTCATTATAGCCCAAGGCCTGATTTACAGCCTGTAGCGCATACTACGACACCACATGGAAACACTGAGGCCTCCTGTGATCACACACAATGACATGACTTCCTACTGCGGGACGGTATTGGTAATCACATTTTCCAAAATATCACAGTATCTGATGAAGTTTGCATTAATAAAGTTAATGATCCTGACTTATTGGAGTCTTGTTAACCTGACATAGTTTGTTTTGACTGGACGGTTCTTTTCTGCTTCTCTTAAAGTTGCGCCAAAGTAAACCAAACATAAAAATGGGTTTCCATAAAGGAAACTTATTATTCATTTAGTATTTAAGTATTTTATACTGTTCTTTTAAGCCAATCTGAAGCGCCCAGCAAACTAACACATTGCAGTCAATAGGGCCCATATCCTACATTCTTCTTGGATTTTATGTTACTCCTTTGGGAGGACCAATTACGATTTTTGTGTGGTTTTATCTACCAAAAAAGGTCATAGTTAATTTTTACATGGCTATTTTCTAACCTCTGTTTATCCCTGAGAATTAAACAGTCAGTTTTTGTTACTGTGCCTTTAAGACTTGTGTGCAGTCATATGGAAAGGTTTGAGAACCAGTCAAATTACATGTTTTGTTGACTTGAGAATAAGTGTATACATCCTCTACAGAGAACTTAAATATGGCATTTTTACAAATTTTAATGCACACTTTTTGTTTATTTGTGATTTCTTTAAAATAAAATATTATTAAATTAAAATATTGGAAAAAATAAGACACAAATAAAATGTGATGTAACTTCTTTATGTTTAATGTATTAAACTCATCAAATAAGCAGTCATTTTGCATTAAAATGTGGAGAATTTTGTTCCCTGTACATTATATGCCAATCAACAAAACATGTCATTTGACCAGGAGGGCCTAAACAGTCTGCAAATGAGCTCTGCTCTGTTCTGATTGGCTGCCCTGTACTGTGGCTTGTTCTAAAATCAGTCCAGGCTGAAACATTTCTCAAAATGTCAGTGTGAGTGGGCGGGGCTAAACTGCTGTAGGCTGAAGATGGATATATTTAAATACACTGGTTTTAGTGACATCACTAAGACAATGAATCCAAAACAGGCAATTACTGGTGACTAGTTTCCATATGCTAACTGTATGGACTTGGGAACGAATGGTACTTTTTTACATTCTACCTCAAACCCTCTTATTTGAATAAAGTGAGAAAATTCATTTTCCAGGATATGAGCCCTTTAAAACATCTTCCTTCTTGTATACATACACTCTTCTGGTTTCTACATATCCTATACGTCTTGATAGAAAAGAAACAGCAGAAATTCTGGTAGTTCTTTTCTTCAGCTCTTCAGGCAGTTGCTGGACATATCATATGATGAAAAATCTAACTTGTAGCGTGACACCAATAGTAGTATAGCGATACAGAGGATATGTCCCCCAACACTAGCCTGTGCGTAGAGCTCAGCAGAGAGTGTAATTTGATAAAGAACTGCACCCTGATTGAAAAATGAACTTTCCTCTACACCTTCCATTGTGGCACTGTGGGCACAGTAAATCATTACACATAAGAATGGTGAAAAACGATATGAGGCTTATGTCGAGGTCCGTTTATGTGGGAAAAAGAAAAGCACATCTGAAGCCTTGAAATGCCCTGAGATCAGTTTGCTCTTTCAGCTGCCACATGTCGAGACATTCCTGTGTATCGCATTGTGTAGCTGGAGGGCAGTTATTTTAACACAGGCCGTCCCACGCTTAGCATTTCACTGCAGCGATGACTGCATGTGTTTAACAAGAGAGAAGAACTACAGAGAGAGAGAGATGAATTCAGACTGCAGGTTTGTACCTGCTCTGCTTAAGCAAACTTTGAGCTTGAGGTGGACAGAGAGAGAATGTGTGTATGCATGTGGATCTAGTCCATTAAGTTGCATAACCTTGATGTGTGTGTGTGTGTGTGTGTGTGTGTGTGTGTGTGTGCAGGCGTTGTTGGGGCTTGTAGGAGTGCATTCCTTCGCTCAGCTGCTTGCTCCTGTGTTCCTCTTACAGAGCATTCCTTCAGTCAGAGCCATGAGGACCCACCCATACACCACACACTGCTCTACATGCTTACACACACCATTCCAACCCCCCACACGCCAACTCACAGCCAGATGAAGACTAAAGAGGAACTCCACAGATTTGTTTAATTTTATACAGTGGGGGTGATAGGTACCAGGGGTTGTGATGTCCAAAATATATATATATAGCCACTTTATTTACTGTCCAAAACCGCCAGTGAACCTACGTGTTTTAACATGTAATGTTAAAAAAACATAGTACATCTGAAAAATTTGTTTTCTTTGGAGACTATTTTGTTTTACAAAATGTGTGTATTTTAAAAATGACATTTTACCCATTTAGATCAATACCTTTCTGTGAAGGAGCTTTTAGAGGTGTTAAACTCAGACTTTTGGTTCCTCTCACCACCACTGTGAACAATTCTGACTCTGCACTGTTAGAAATAAAGGTTCTGTGCAGGTACATTGTTCGTTCATCAAGGTACAAACATGTACCCTCAAAAGGACAACAGTGGTTTTAAGGTCCAGTTGTGAAGATAAGTTTTTTTTCCAGGTGAAAAGTACATATTTGTATCTTTTCATAACCTAATGTTTTAAAACAGAACAGTAAAATAAAAGCCTGGA